CTCCATTGCCCCTCGGGGCCGTGTGGATCAGGACATCCTCATCCACCCCCAGCAGTGGGAGATTTGGAGCCCCTGCAGATTTTCTGGAGGGGGCAAGGAGAGCTCAGCCTCCAGGGGGGTCCCAAATGCCTCTCCCAGCCCTCAGATTTGCCACCTTCCCCTGCGCTTCTTGGCAGCAGGAGCAGGACCTGTCCCAGATGTTTTGCAGGTGCCAAGACCTCCCACCTCCCTGGCCCCGTAGGGCTCAGCCTTTCTCCCCCCACCCCCATTTCAATCTTCCCACCACACCGGGGGTGGTTGGAGGGATGTAGGGATGAGGCAGCATTTCCTGGGGTCTTCCACCTGTATCCCCCACATTTCCCAGAGGGATTTCCCCACCCATGGGACTTCCCGGCAAGCAAGGGTGATAAAAGCAGATGATGATGGCAGAACCCCAAGACCCCACACCGCAGCACTGGGAGAGGGGCCAGGCGGAGATGAAGCCTGGTGGCCTGTCCCCAGCGGCTCTGCTCCTTGCCACACTCTGCAACCAAGTCCAGAGCCAGAGCTGTGGGTGCTGGCAAGGATCCCCCCATGAAATGGGAGAAGAAAGGGAGGAAAAGGGTGTTTTTCAGCCTAGATCACATGTGGGACCCACAGGGCCAGCCCAGAGCAGAGACTGGATCCACTTATCACACCCATGCCCTTCTCTGCATCAAACACAAGAGGGCTGATGAGCTGGAGGAGGGTGAAGACCAGTTTCTCCTGAATACATCAAGCGCTGCAGGAGCACCTGGTTTTGCCTCTGGTGCTTCTGAGCCTCCATGGACATCCCTGGCTTCAGTGCCAGGTCTGTGCGACCCAGAAAAGCCCCATCCTGGCCAATGTGGGGAGGGGAAAGGGGGATATTCCTCCTGAGACACAGGCAAGCCCCAGGGACCTGGGGGTGCTCGGGGGCTTCCAGCTTCAGGAGCCCAACCAGGGCTGAAAATCCACCCTACTCCAAAATCCCCTGTCCGCAGGGTCCACTCGCCCCGTGGGGCAGACATCATCGCCGGGGCTAAGGACAGAGGGATGCTGCAGGTGCTGGGAACATCATCCCTGGAATTCCCCGGCCTGATGTATCCCAGTGTTTTGCATGGGTGTCTTTAAAAGGGGCCTTTCCCGGTTCAATAAACCCTCTTTTGTTTTCCTTGTGCTTCTGTTTCCTTTTTTTATTGCAGGGATTATTTTCTACCCTTAGAGGACCACATTTATCCAGCTGGGCCAGGAGCTCCTCTGTGCCTTGGGGGTGAGAAGGAGGATAAGGGGGAAAGGATGGATCCAGGAAGGGAAAGGCGAGCCAGGCAGCTGTGCCGGAACAGGACCAGGACCAGAGTCATCTGCTTTCCTCCACTCCCCGGGGTCTCCCTGAGGAGAGATTAAATGGGAATTGGGGTGATGACGGGAAGGTTCTTTGCTCTGCCAGCCAGGCACGGAAACATAAACCCACCTTGTCCGCACCTGCCAGCGCTGGGGCATCACCCACACCCACTTGCTGCACCCCAGTATTATGCCACATGTGCACCCCAAAAAAATTGAGTCTGATTTCTGGGAAATGGCTTTGAAGATGAGCAAATGGAGGGACACACATGGTCCCACTGTGGAGGTGACCCCCATTCCCATTGGAGTGGGTCCCTGCCTGGACCAGCACCCCATGCCCTCCCCAGCCAGGTCTCCACGGCGAGGCTGAGCTGCAGCCCAGGGTGGCCAAAATACCGGCAGGGTACCATCGATGTCCCCAGCCCCACGCAGCAGGACGTGGCTGCCCACACAGGAAGGCTGGCGGGGATACGTGTCCACATCCCCCTGCTGCTTCCCACCATCCGCCAGCTGCCGGCAGCTGGGATGTGCCCTGGGATTTGCCGGGGCTGGGGGAAGAGGGGGATTTTTTGGACACCTGCAGCCAGGCAAAATCCATTGGGGAAGCCTTTCCCAGATCAGCATGGCCAAGAACATGAGCTGCTGCTTCAGTGTCGAGGGGGAGGGAAGTGGAGCCACCTGCCTTGCCTCTCCCAGCCCCAACGGGCCCCAAAACACCCCCAAACCAGCACAGAACCATGTATGTGCCTGGTACATCCAAAGAGAAGCTGTTTCTCTATGGCTTTTTTTAGCAGAGGGACATTATTTGGTCTTTTGTCCCCTGGGCTGGGATGCAGTGCGATGGGATGCAAAACTTCGTGGTGCAGGGGGAGGACGTGGACTGTCGGGAGTGTGTGCGGCTGCTGGGGACCCTGCAGGATGCTGAGCTGAGCCCTGGTCCCATCCAGAGGAGATCCCCAGACCCTCTTGCCCAGGGCCCCCCTGCCATAAGGCATGCAGCCTGCCCGGGAGACAGGGGTGCAGAGCCAAACTTTGGGAGCAACCCGGCCATCAGCCCTAACGCTAGAGGCAGAAGGTCAAGAAAAAGCCCAAGCCCATCACGGGCCTGGGAGCCGGATTTTCCTTTCCCAGGGCTGTGCTGGGAGGGGATTAGTATTGCTCACCCTCTGTGCTTTGGGACATGGCGGGGGATCAGGTCCTCCCCCTGTCCATGCAGCTGCTGGCCCTGAGGGAAGCCAGCCCCACTACTCCCCCTATAAAAGCAGCCCGGCAGCCCTGACCCCAGCAGACGGCAGCTCTGCCCTGGTGCCACCGAGCAGCCCTCCTGCAGCCCAGCATGGTGAAGGCGGCTGTGGTGGTCTCCATCCTCCTCCTCCTCCTCGCTGCGCTGTGCTGCCAGAGCCTGGCTCAGAGTAAGGACTGCTGCCCGCTCCGACCCCACGGGCTGGGAGACATGGATGGCCTCCAGGGCCATCGGGACGAGCTTGCTTCATGCATGGGGTGCAGGGGGCCTCCCCCCAAAGAGCTGCCATGCCCACGGTGGGAGGGCTGAGATGGGAAATGGGCATCTCCAGGCTAAGCCAAGCTTGTGCTGTCCCCACAGGAGCCCCAGCCTTGCCAGACAAATGCTGCTTCAACTTCCAGAAGAGAAGGATCAAGAGAGACAATGTCATCGCCTGCTACCCCACCAGCCCCGAGTGCCCGCACCAGGCTGTGATGTGAGTACTCTAAACCCAGCCCTAGGGATAAAACCCTTCTAGACCCTGCCAGACCCCATCCCTTGCTTTGGTGGGTCCAACCCTAATCCTCTGTGCCTCCGAACCCCTCAGAAACTCAGCGCTGGGGTCTCCGTACTGGCACCCCACTAACCCTGTCTTTTCTCTGCCCCAGTTTCAGGGTGAAGAGCGGGAAGGAGATCTGCGCCCAGGTGAGCAGGGCCTGGGTGAAGAGGTACCAGCAGAGCTTCCAAGTCAGCTCCTTCTCCATCCCAAGCTAGCAGGGTGGCCGGAGGCAGCGTGGGAAGTCCCCTCCACGGGGGACTGGGCAACACAAAGGCGACCCCTTCGCAGAGGTGGCGGTGGGGACACCACATTTGGATATAGCAGCTTGTCAGGGACATCCTCCCCATCACGCTGTGATGACCTCCCTGAAGGCAAAGGGTCTTTGCCATCCCCGGCATCCCACGGACTCGACAAGGCGCTGGGGTCCACACTCGCTGCCAGCCCCCAGGCTCTCAGCCCTGCTTCCAAGGCAGGCAGCAGCAGCATGTCGGTGAGGCAGCAGCAGAGGGCTTGAGGAGGAGCAGCTCCGTGGTTATTTTTTGTACAACATACTGAACAGAATTAAACGTGATCTCGTGCATGCAAACATCTGGCTGTGCAAGTGTCTTGGGAGCAGACAGATCCTGCTGCCAGCTTTCCTACCACATCTGTAAGTGCTGGGGTCAGTAAGGAGCCAGGAAGGGCTGAAGCCCCGACTACGTCTCTGTGAGGGGGTGCATGGGACCAAACCATGTCCATGCAGGCTTTGGGGAAGCCACCAGTGAGAGGGGCAAGAGGCATGCACAGCCCATGAGGAGGGGGCTTCCCGTGTTCCTCATCAGCCATCCTAATGAGTGGAGACCCCTGGCCCAAATTCTATCAGAGCTGCCCTTTGGGGATGCTTGGTCAGGCACCACTGACAGCCCACACTCCTGGGATGCTACGAGGAGATGTGATGGGCACTGCCACGGTGACGGGCACTGCCACGGTGACAGGCACCATGATGGGCTCAGGCAGCCAGTAATGGGTCTCAGGGTGGGCTGGGGTGAGCCTGGTCACCACCTGGTGCAAAATTGCAAGAGAGGCATCGCAGCTGAGCTGATAATGGGTGGGTTTTTTTAAACTCACCCAGGGCTTTGGCAAGTGCGAGCATCATCCTGTGTGGTTTGCTGGTGGCAACAACCAAACCCAAAATAGACTGTCGGCACTGGTGTATCACCAGCGGCACAGAGCTGCCGGCTGCTCGCCACACTTTCCAGCAGCCCTTGGGTACCACAGGAGCCGGAGGGGCCAGGAGAAGGAATTTCCATTCACCAGTTGCCCTTTATCGATATCTCCAGGCGGTTCTTTCCCCGGGGAGAGTCCAGAGCTGTCATGGAAAGCCTGGCTGGGGGGTATATCACACCGAGGTGCAGGGAGGAGAGGCTGGTAGCTCTCGGTGGCCCCAAGTCAGCAAGAGCTGCTGACTGCTGGCGCTGACTGAGCCCTAGGTGGGACATGAAGGTCTTCTCCTTGGCCCTGCTCATCCTGCTGCTGGCGGCTCTCTGGGCTGAAAGCCAAGGTGTCTCCTGTAAGTACCAATGCCAAGCCTTTCTCCATGGTTACCGCGGCACCGTTCCCCAGCTCCTCCACTGATGGGGTTTTGGGGGGTCAGGGAGGGGGATGAGAACTTCAACTCCTGCTTCTGCTGCAGGTTGGGGGGGGCTGAGAAGCATAGCCATCTGCCCAAGCATGAGGCTGTCCTGATCTTGTTCAAAATGAGCAAAAATAAGCTTGGGGATGACTTCAGCCCTGGCACCCTGGCTGGGGAGCTCAATAATAAGTCCTTGCAGGCAGAGAAACCCTGGAGCAAAGCAGCACCACCGGGTATGTGAGAGGGGACCCCTTGTAGTGGGAGGGAGCAGGAGAGTCTCTGGGGGAGCACCCACACCCCTCGGGGGAGCACCCACACCCCTCTTGCCAGGCGTGGGAGAGCACCAACCCCTCTCTCCTCCTCTCAGTCCGCAGCCACTACAGCGCATGCTGCTACAAGGACATGTTCGTCTGGAAGAAAATCCCTGCCTTCCTCATCAAGAGCTACGAGAAAACGCCTTCCCACTGCTCCCGTAACGCCGTGCTGTGAGTACCCCCAGCACCCATCCAGCCTTCCTCCCTGGCACCCCACTCCTCACTCTTGCTCGCCCACCTTCCCTACTAGTTATTCTGCCTTCAGGGATCTCCCAAAACAAGCCATGCCCAAAGAGTGCCATGGGTGGGGATGCCCTGCCTTGGCTCTTCACGTGCACCTCCCTCCTCACTGCTTTATCTCAAATAGCCCCAAAATTGCCGGTTTCAACTGCCAGCCAGAAAAAAGGGAAGGAAGCCAAGATTTCAGAGATTGCTAAAAGTCAGCACTTTAGGGGGATGCAGGGATAAGGATGCTGCAGGCATCCCCAGGCTGGTGGGGAATCCAAGGGCACGGCCAGATCCTGCACCCCCCCAGCTAACACAGCCCCTCTCTCCTGCACAGTGTGGAGCTGCTGAGGGGGAAGAAGCTCTGCGTGGACCCAGAGGAGAGATGGTTCCAGCAGTACCAGCAGCAGCAGGAGTCAAGGAGAACCTCCACATGAAGCTGCCTTCCCTATAAGCTCTATTTATCCGCATCCCATAATTACCTCTACATTCTTGTCTCATTAAGTTATGGAGCTGGCTCCGTCCCCTCCCCTGCCATTGCTCCCTCCACACTACTGTACGTGCCTCAACAGGTTTAATAAAACATTTTGTGTTGACCTGCAGCTGGAGTGAGACGATGTAAATCCTGTGGCAGATGAACGGGGGTCACATCAGGACTCAGCATCTCTGCAGGGACCCAGGAATAGCCCAGGAGCCCTTGGGAGCACAGGGAATCTTAAAGGGCCAAGGTTGATGCCCCCAGCTTCTCCCCCCAAGGTGAAGTAGCCCTGGTCCAGGCGTGGGGTTTAAGGATGCTCTGGGCAGATGCTGGCCTGGTGGGATGCTGACTGAGGGAGGGATAAAGGCAGGCGTGCAGGCTGGCACTGGGAGAAAGGTTGGATTTGGGGGGGTGCTGGGGTTTTGGTTTCTTCCCAGATGGATCAAGGGGTTAAATGGGTGGCTACAGGAGAAGTGCCTAGAGGCTGGAGCAACCGCATTCTATCTGGTTCCCATCAGAGCTGGAGAGCTTTGGAGCTAATTCTGTATTGCTGTGACTGGTAGAGCAGCATGAGAAGGGGTATTTGTGGCAAAACTTGGGCAGAAGTTGGGTTTTCATGCGGTGGTTTTCTGTCAGTAATAGCGGCCGGGGCTGGGGGGGGGTCCGCCAAAAAAAAAGCTGATCTGGGCTTGGCTTTCGGTCCACTAAGCAGCTCCACAGCCCCCATCATGGTGATGCTACTGGGGCTGTTGCAAAGCAAATCCCTGCCTGGAGCTTGCTGGTGTTGCTTCATTGCCGCCTGCTTGGGATTCCTCTTGCATAGTGTGTGGCTCCTGGCACTTTGCCTGAGGAAGAAGAGGTCAGGATCCTCAAAGGACACCCAACTGCCCTCCCAGCCCCTGCCCTAGAAACCTCCAGATTCTCAGTAATAGAAAGGGGAACGTCACACGTGGGCTTGCTGCTGTCCCTGAGCTCCGCAGGGCAAGAGCCTCTGCGGTGGCCCCGACCCTCCCGTTGGCACTTGAGGTGCTGCCAGGCCATTTCCCAAATAGGAGTCAGCATTGGCAGGCCAAGGTGAGATGCTGGTGTCACCTCATGGGGACTTGCTGGTTGTCATCGGAGCTGAACTCTGGCTGGA